CTAAAACTAAATGAATTCATTCAAACAACCATAGTCCAAAATACATCAGGATGAGGCTCCCTGTACCAAAATACATCCTTCTTAACAGATTTGACAAATAGAACCAACTTATGAGCTATTTGATTCTTACTCCTTAGCTTTATAAATATTTACACAACCAAATTGGTAAGGTCTAGAAAATGTAAACACGACCAAGGAGTCTTTAAGCTCCAAAACCCCTTGCACCAGTAACAAAATTATTAGCTATCATTATCATAGGCTCAATTTGAAAAGAATATATTACATATGTACAATATAAATACATATATAATAATACAAAATATAAGGTTTTGCATTCATCCAAACAAATACCAAAAACACCCAAATCACTTCCTGGAATTCATCCATCACAAAATACAAATACATCAAATCCAGAAACCACTTGAGGAATCCTCCAGTTGAAATCTGAATCAGTAATAACATCCAGCCAAATTGAAAGAAAATCGTTCTTATCACAAAGTTAAGTAATTAAGACAACAAAAAAAATTTAACCAGCTAACACAGACTGAACATCATCATTAAGTATCCTTAATCCTTACACCCCATTTAAAAGAAAACCAACCAACTTCAGAAAGAGGACAATAAAAAAATAAACATAATAGATTCAAGATTAAAACCACAAAGGGAACAACAATCGTCTAAACCACACACCCAAAGTAGAAATTACATCTTAGAGACACTCTTAATTTCCAACCCCACCTAATCAATTGAAGACAATCACTAGAAAGAGGAACTTTAGACTGCTTCCCCCCATCAAAACAGAAAACCTTGGTAGTGAACTTTCCATTGCAAGCCCCCAACCATAAAAACATTTTAGGGGGGTTCTACAATATGAATGTTTTTGTTTTCAAAGGAAAAAAAATAAGCTGGTTTTTGTTTCAACAAATATACATGTTTTTGGAACCACAAAATACTAGTTTTTAAAACAAAAATAAGTTTTCTAGTATAGAAATTATGTGATTTATGAAACATAATGTTGAATAATCAAATGAAAACATGATTTTGAAATCAGATTTAAGAACAGGTTTTTTATTTCAGTTTTGGAAATAAAAAACACATGCACAACCAAGAACATGATGTTTCTTGTGTTTCCGTCTTAAGAAATATTCTGTTTTCAAATAAGATGGTTTTGATTTTTTTTGAAACCAAAAAAAACAAAAATCAGTGTAAAAGGCCCCTGGTCCAAAAGTATGTAACTTGCTGACATTCCAAAACAACTTTGTTATTGTACATGAATTAAAGGCCTCATCCACAACCTGAACTATTTTCCAATTCATTTTCTGCCCATAAAGTGATGATAATAAACCAACTCTATTTTGATTTTGATTTTCTGTTTTTTTTTTTTTTTTATGGAGCTTCAGAAACGGGGTTATCCACCCCAACCCTGGTGAAAACAGGATTTGATCAAAAAAGATATTGTAAGCATGAGGTGCGATGTAACAATTGTTTATTGTATTTTATTACATACAAGATCTATTAGGCATCACATAGATGAAATGGAAACACAAAAATAAAAACATTAAAAATGATGTTTCATCTAAAAGCGAATTTCACATAACCCAAGATAAAAATATGTATAAATACATTTTTTATACCTGATCAACCTATCAAACAGATTGGGATTATCTATTCTCCCCCTTTGCCCTATCTAGGGAGCGATACCTGTTGTTGTCCTATTCTAAAAATCCCTCCTCTTCCCCCTCTTTCTTCTTCTTCTTTTCTCCCTCTCTCTATCTATCTATCTATTCAGCCCGTGCTATTTACAGTGGCGCAAACACTTGCTTTAGTGTACCTCACACCGATTTCACAATCCCATCCCACTGTGTATTGAAAATATGTCCCCATAAATAATAATATGAAACATGAGAGATATTCCCGATGTACTATTGGCACACATTGCGAGATTGGTGTGAGAAACATTCTGTGAATAACAGATTCAGACGCCACTAAATGATCCTAACCCCTACTGAGTTCAAATCTTTGCCCCATGGCTTGGTGGAGTTCGGCTTCAGTCATGGCAAAACCCATTCAAGCAGCCTTTACTGCTTGCATTGAGAATATCTATGTACTTGTGTGCTTTATTTCATGAGAAGATATTCCCAATGCAAGGTTGTAAAAGACTGTTAGAAAAGTGTGGGCACAGATTTGCCCTCATAGAAGCTGATCTCAAATGCACCCCAAAACGCCCCACACAATGAAAGCCAGCCAAGTGTCCTCTTACACGCATGCGGAGCTAAGGCTCCCTATTCCCGCTCATTATTCTCCAAGACTCGACTTGCGCTGTGTAACCTGACCCCTGGACTGACCCCTTGCACTTCCATCCATCCAAGCTTGGCAAGAAATCATCGATTCTAACGATCATACCTCTATTATACATGTTAAACTTCACTATTGATTAATTCTCCATTCATCATGTTAAACGACAATCGCATGAAGAAATTGATAGCTGCTCCCTTCATGAATTCATGTTTCCATTCACCTCTAGGGATCTCTTTGACAGAACAACCAAACCCACTTTACAGGGTTTTTAAGAAAGAAATGAGACAACCATGGATAGTTATCCTCCCTACAACGAGAAATATGTACAAAACGTGTAGAGCAGAAAAAAAAAATGAAAATAAGAGAAGGAAAGATGCTTGAAAGAAGATCAAACACGAACTATTTTGAAGTTAAATGCAGAACACCCATTAAAACCCACGATAAATCTATATAAAACTAAATACAAAAACTTACTAAAGAAAATGACAAAATGAAACTTGAAAACAAATTGCGGGTTTATATCAAAGTAGCACCGAAAGAGTTCCGGGGAGCTTGATTACACTTTTCAGATGTTTACAACGCAAAAACCCTGTGCAACGACGTAATTTGCCCATCCATACCACTAAGGTGGCATTTGATTGTACTTTTTAGATGTTTGAATCTAAAAATATTGCTTTTAAGACGCCACCTTCGTTTGATATGCCCTCTTATTGTAAATCTGAAATTAGATTTCGAATCTTAATTTCTAAGAGGTGGAGTGGCTGCTTAATGCGGTCAGACGTAATTCAGAGGTGTATAAAAGACATAAGTGCCCTAAAAAAATTAATATTACATGTTTTGTCCTTCATATAACTCAAATCGAACCCTCACTATGACCTAACGAAGCTCCACCGCCACCACCACTATTGCGCTCTCTCTGTCTCTCTCTACTGTATTCCCGCCACCTTGTAGTGGCGACGGTTCCTTCTCTCTTGCTTTCACTCTCTCTCTCATCCGTCTTCCTGTCACCACCATTGCAACTCCTTCTCGCTCTCTCTCTCTCTCCCCTATCTTCCCATCACTGTCGTTGCAAGTTGCAGCGGCGGCGGTACCTTCTCTCTCTCTCTCTCTCCTCTCCCCCCCATGTCTTCCCGCCACCGCCACTACAAGTTGCAATGGCGATAGTTCCTCTCTCTCTCTCTCTCTCTCCCCTTCTTCTCGCTACTGTCACTACAAGTTGCAACGACGGTTCGGTGAGTAGTAATAATAATAATATTATTATTTATTATAAATTATTTTTAATAATTAATAATTAATAATTATTTTTATTAACTAGTAATTTTTAATTACTTCATTAATTTTTAAAAATTATTCTAATTTTTATTTGTTTAAATTATTAACTATTTTAATATTTTTATAATCATTAATTATTTTTTTAATTTTAATTGTTTCATTTATTAATTATTAATTTATTACTTTTTTATTTGTATTGTTTCAATATTATTTTGAGGTTGAAAATGATTTCTTATGAGATAATGCAAATTGAATACAACATTTAAAATAGTAAAATCAGTGAATTTCAGATGGTAAAGGATTGATCGAACACAAACAAACTTATGGATTCAAAGCTTCTAAAAAGTAGAAAAGCACCTATGCTTGATGCTTCTTTTCAAATTTCAGACAAAAAATATCTTCTTTACTTTTCAAATATGAAATTTCATATTTATCAAACGCCACCTAAGCGAGGGCGAATCCAGTGAACCCATCGGCTCACAGGGGAGCATGCACCCTCCAATGAGAGGCATGCACAACACCCTTTTTGAATCCAGCAATTCCGTTAAACTTAAGTTTGGTTCATACTCCCGTTAAGCGAATCAATCCGGTTCAACTGGTTAGAAAAAGACAAAATTAGATGAAACAAATCTTTTTGCCTCTCATTCGTTCGAATTCCCCTTTCTTCCATTTTCATTTTCACCCGAGCCCTAGCCCAAGAGCAAGGGACCACCAACAACAATTTCACCGAGTTTTGACGAAATGGAGTCAATTAGTAGTAAGTATTTCTTCTTCTCCTTCCCCTTCCAACCCTATTATTCCTCTTTCTTAACAATAAATAACAAAGCACATTTTACTACTATTCACATTTTTTAAAACTGAATCGGACAACGACCAGTCAGGGGTCTAGTTTCCAGGTTGAATGGTCTGACTATTCAAATCGAAAAAACGACCCATTCTGACAAAAAATATTAAAAATTAAAAACTGCCAAACCATTGAACGGTTCGACCGCCCGAGTCAGCGGTTTACTGACCAAATCAATGATTTTTAGGGAAATAACGGTTCTGAGGTAAAACGGAACCAGTCACTTGACTAGTTCCCGGTTTTTCCGGTCCAATCGCCCGATTTTGAAAACCATGATAAATTTAGTTCAATAAAAATCAAACATCAATCCATTTTTTGTGGCTTTCACAAAAGCATCCATTTTTGTGGATCCAATCCCCATCCCAGATTCTAAAACTGGCAATCAATTATAAATAACACAGAAGTAGGCCATGGAACTTGAACCACAACCATGTGTTCCTCGAACGTAAATGGCACCTCTTCACCATCAATTAAACAAACTTTTGGTTTTTTTTTTATTTTTTTTTATTTTTTTATGCAAACAACCTCATTTCTTTGGTTCTCCCTTCACTCCAATTTGAAGCAAACTTGTCTCATCATCCTCCTCTAGTCATTGAATGGCATCACTAGTATTAAGCATGTCGACTAATCCAATAGGAGCAAATTGGATTTTGCTTGATAATAATTTCACCGGAGAAACTGTAAGAAGCTCAAAATTAAAAGGCTCCAATGAAAGGAAATCAGGTTCTTTGCCTGGAACATATAAACAACAAACACTCGTACCCCTTGAAACAGGTTCTTTCCGTTTTCCATTCAATATTGTTTGGGTTCGTCATAGTCAACACAGCATGCGAAAACTCGGAGGCACAATTGTTTCTTCGAGCTTGACGGCACCAACCTCCCGCTAGGTGACATGCCATCAGAATTAGAAGGCAATCGCTGTCGGAGCTTGGTGAAAAAATGAAATCACTGTCGGTGGCCTCCTGCCAAAAAAAAGGAAGAAGATATTAACGAAGATGAATAACAAAGTTGAAAGAAAAGGGAGAAAGAACGGATGTTTACCGCCGGTTGACTACATGTCGTTGGAATTCGGTGAAACAGTGGAATCGTCGCCGGTGGTCTATTGCTAGAAGAGAAAGGAAGAAGATATTAACAAAGAAGAATAATAGGGTTGGAAGGAAAATGAGAAGAAGGGATTCGACTTATTCTTATCGCCAGTTGGATTCATGCCGTCAGAACTTGGTGAAATCGCTGTCGGTGGTCTCTTGCTCTTGGGCTAGGGCTCAGGTGAAAATGAAAATGGGGGAAGGGGAATTCAAACGAATAAGAGGAAAAAAAGGCTTTTTATTGGTGGTTTTGTCTCTTCCTAACCAGTTGAACCAGATCGACTCACTTAACGGGAGCGTGAATTGAACTTAACATTAACAGAATTGTTAGATTTGAAAAGGGCGACATGCATGCCTCCCATTAGAGGGTAAACGCTTCCTGTGAACCGACGGGTTTACTGGATTCGGGCTCTGACTAAGCGTGGTGGGAGTGAGTCTGGTAGTACGTGTAGGAGGTGAAACGTAGTCTTATTCGGTTGTCCGACGCTAGATAGCAAGCTGATTGGCGAATTCGGATCAGTTGAACGCTTTCGCTGTTCAACGAGTTATGGAACCAATTACGAGGTCACATGTCAGTCATAAATTCATGGGCTCCATTGTGAAAGATGTGAGATTCACTGTGTATTCAGCTAAACCTTGTTCTTTTTTCTTGTAGATCAATGATTTTTTAAAAATCGACAGTTCGTATTTTGATCTTTTTTTTGTTTGGTTGAGAAAAAATTTAGTTGTTGAAAGTTATAAGCCCGAAAAGATATGAAAACCCCATTTCAGACTATTTTTGAAAAGTTTCAAATGAAGTTTTTCATTTTTTTTAATTCGTCTTCGTGTAAAAAGACATGACTTAACCAAACGATTTTCAAGCTATTAAAATCTTAATGCAAAAATTCACATAATCTTTTAACTATTAAAACTTTTAAAATATATTTCAAACAAAAATTTGCCAAACAACCCCACATTTGGTTCTCCCTTAAAACGAAATGAGAGAGAAAAAGCGAAATGATATGAGATTTTTAGATTTTTGGGTCTTTTAGGAGTTAATGGAATGAATTAACGTCCGTTCCGTTAATTCTGCACGCATTTTAAGGCAAGCGCAGCTTCCATTGCGTGGGGGTGCTTTTGGGCGCAGATTGGAACTCCCCCACTACCAAACAAGATGCAAGAATGCGTGATCTATGACGTTGATGTATCAGCTTGCATTTGAGAAGGAACCTCAACCTTCCTTGGAGGAGATCTGCCGTTGAGGTCAAAATTGTCCTTTGGCTTTCAGTGCACGACAAAAAATTGAAGTGAGATCCATCTCAGACTCAAGTGATCCAATGCTCGTCCCAATCACCAACTTTGCACGTTCTTCATAAGTCCACATTCCACAATTGTTTTCTTCAGTCTTCTTATTATATACATCTCCTTACGCACACATAGGTAGGGGTGTTTACGGTGGTTTTTGAAAAATTGCTAAATGAAATCAAATAAAAAATCGACTTATTGGTTCAGTTTTTAATCGGTTCATTTTTTCATTTTATCGAGTTTTTATATAATTATATATACATATATATATGTATATCAATCAGTTTGGTTAATCATTGATTTTTAATCAAAATCAACCGATATGACCAGTTTTTTAAAAGAATTAAATCGATTGACTCAATTTATTGGATTTTTCGGTTCAATTTGATTTTAAAGTTTTTTGGTTTTTATTAAGTAGGTATTTGACATTAATGTTGGAAAACCATTTTTTCATAAAACAATGGTGGGCATGTGGAGTTATAAATATTTTTTGTTTAGAATTGGTGTTGTCACGTATGCATCTTTTGAGAAAATAATATTTATTTTTAGGGTTTTTGATTCCATTTATGTTTATTGAGTAAATGTTTTGTACTTGTATGATTTCAAAATCTAGAAAATCAATTAATGAGGGTATTGAACAACGTTTTCAATATTAATCTATATTATACAACATCAAAGATGAATGCCACCTCATTGTACCGCTAGCAATAATATGTTGTTTTCTCATAAAATATTGATTTTAATATTGCGCCATACTATAATTTCCCGATTTTCAAGATATGATCTAGAACAATGTATTTTTCGGAAAACACGGCATCAAATAAGATGGTATTATTTGAAGCAACATTTTGTGAGGTCTATCCCAAACATCCGTATATAGCGTGGCACCGTTTTCTCATAAAACGGTATCTATGCCAAACATCCGTATAGGACGTGGTCACGGCACATAGGATCTTATGCATCCATCACAGGTCCCACCATAAGATCAGAAGGTTAAGATTGTCCAATCTTTTCTTCATTTGCATGCCACGTGTACAAGTTTGGTGAAGAAGCACCGCGTTCTTCACTTTACACGTGGCCATTGTGGAGAGGGAGAGAGCCGGAGAAGGTTCTGTAGTAAAAGAATCCTGGGGCTGGGGGCTGGGGCTTAGCTCATCGCTTCAAATTCAATCTAAGAAATAAGTAAATAACCGACTATTGTCTATTGAACTATGATGCCGGAAATGCATGAATCTACGCTTACCGAGTGCTCCCAACTCGCTCTCTCCGGCCTCATCAATCTTTTCTTCATTTGCATGCCACGTGTACAAGTTTGGTGAAGAAGCACCGCGTTCTTCACTTTACACGTGGCCATTGTGGAGAGGGAGAGAGCCAGAGAAGGTTCTGTAGTGAAAGAATCCTGGGGCTTAGCTCATCGCTTCAAATTCAATCTAAGAAATAAGTAAATAACCGACTATTGTCTATTGATCTATGATGCCGGAAATGCATGAATCTATGCTTACCGAGTGCTCCCAACTCGCTCTCTCTGGCCTCATCTCGAACACCTCTTCAGCATTGTGGACAACGGGATCCCAGAGACCCTAGACTTAGATCGAGAGGTATTTTTATTCTTTGTTTATCTCTGCTCAAGTTTTAGTTTTTCTTTCTTAAATTACAAGATACCAGAAAATACATCTAATAGATCTGAATCACCCGGATCGTGTTATCATGGCGAGAATGCTCGGTGGTTTAAGGGGGCTGGCATTTTTGTTATTCTTTCTGTTTGAGTTTTGCGATGCGGATTCCGGTGGTAGAAATTGCGCGAGTAACAGTTCTCTGGTTGGTTTCGAGTCAGAATTTCTTATGGTTCAGCACCAGTTGAGAGGGGTGATGAAAGTGATTAATGATTGTTCATTTACGGTTAGCGAATTCGATATGATTGAGGGTGCTGATGTACACTGGTGGGGCGCCTTAGGTGATGCTTTTGAGAATCTAACGACCGGATTTGTGATATCTGATCAGCCGTTGAACAGAACGTACAAAAACGAAAGCTTCGTTGTTGTTCTGAACAATATCACATTGGATCAGATCAAAGTGGTTGCCGTCTGGGACACACCAACAGGTTCGGATTTTGGACATGTTCTTCTTGAAAACCCTAGGAATGGTTCGAACCCTTCGTCGAATTCTTCAGCATCTAGTTCTAATTTGGCACCATCACCCTCTCCGTTGGCTGGGAACAGTTCTGTTGGAGGAAAGAACCGGGTTTATGAACAACCTACCATGTTCGATAACTGCAAGATTCTTGCCAATAATTACCGTCTTAGGTGGACGTTGGCTCCTGAGGAGAACTTGATTGACATTGGGCTGGAGGCAGCTCAAGAAAGCCAATACTATATGGCATTCGGTTGGGCCAACCGCACGTCTTCTTCTGAGTTTATGCTTCATGCTGATGTAGCTGTGACTGGCTTTACAGAGGAAGGTATCCCTTTTGCTGATGATTATTACATTACCAGATACAGTGAGTGCTTAATGAATAAGGATGGTAAAGTTCAGGGTGTTTGTCCTGATACGATCTATGAGGGATCTGCCCCCATTGGATTGGTGGACAACACCAAGTTGGTATATGGACACAGAAAGGACGGAGTGTCCTTCATCCGATATCAACGGCCTCTCAAATCTATTGACACAAAGTATGACTTAACTGTGAACTATACGGATAACATGACTGTAATATGGGCTCTGGGGCTGATTAGACCTCCTGATGCTCTCCGCCCATATTACCTTCCCCAAAACCATGGTGGGCCTCCTCTTGTGACTTATGGGCACCTGGTTCTCAATGTATCGGAGCATGTAAATGATTGCTTAGGGCCATTAGAAGCAGAACAGAAGGAGGATCGGGACCTTATTTATGCAGATGGAAAGACCCCGCTTATTGTTACAACAAGTCCAGCAGTGCATTACCCAAATCCTCCCAATCCTTCAAAAGTTCTCTATATTAACAAGAAAGAGTCTCCTGTCTTGAGAGTAGAAAGAGGGGTTCCAGTAAAGTTCTCAATACAAGCTGGACATGACGTTGCTTTATACATAACTTCTGATCCAATTGGTGGGAATGCAACCTCTAGAAACACACCGGAAACTATATATGCTGGAGGGCCAGAAGCTGAAGGAGTTCCAGCAAGTCCAACAGAATTGGTTTGGTCACCTGACAGGAATACACCAGATCAGGTTTATTATCAATCATTTTATGAACAGAAAATGGGTTGGAAAGTTCAGGTTGTGGATGGGGGTCTTTCGGATATGTACAATAACAGTGTTGTTCTGGATGATCAGCAAGTTACATTTTTTTGGACACTGTCCGGTGATTCAATATCTATAGCAGCTCGAGGTGAGAAAAAAAGTGGTTATCTTGCAGTAGCATTTGGTGGTGGAATGGTGAATAGCTATGCTTATGTAGGTTGGGTTGACAATGATGGCAAAGGCCACGTGAACGCATACTGGATTGATGGGAAGGAGGCCATAAGTGTGCATCCTACTAATGAGAATTTGACACATGCAAGATGCAAGTCAGAGAATGGTATTATCACTTTCGAGTTTACCCGTCCCTTGCAGCCTTCGTGTGCTCTAGGTAGTAGGCCAGAGTGCAACAATATTATTGACCCCACAACTCCTCTTAAGGTTGTTTGGGCTATGGGTGCTAGGTGGTCAGAGGATCATTTAAGTGAGAGAAATATGCATTCTATTACAAGTAGCAGACCTGTTCGTGTGCTGCTTATGCGTGGCTCAGCAGAGGCAGAGCAGGATCTGCGCCCAGTTTTAGCTGTGCATGGATTTATGATGTTTGTTGCTTGGGGCATCCTGCTTCCAGGTGGAATATTGGCAGCCAGGTACCTAAAACACTTAAAGGGTGATGGATGGTTCCAGATTCATGTTTACTTACAGTATTCGGGTTTAGCAATTGTTGTGCTTGGTGTTCTTTTTGCTGCTGCTGAACTTCGGGGTTTCTTCATTAACTCAGTACATGTAAAGTTTGGAGTTATTGCTATACTTTTGGGTTGCTTTCAGCCCGTGAATGCATATCTAAGGCCAAAAAGACCTGATAATGGTGAAGTGGCTTCCTCCAAAAGGATCCTTTGGGAGTATCTCCATGTCATGACGGGGAGATGTGCCATTGTAGCTGGAATTGCAGCACTTATTAGTGGGATGAATCATTTAGGAGACAGATATGGAGGTGAGACTGTTCATGGGCTTAACTGGGCTTTAATAATATGGTTCTTGATGGGTGCATTACTAGTTGTGTACTTGGAAAATGGTGAAAGAAAGAGAAGAAGGGACAGAAGCTTTGGAAAAAGCAATTGGGTATTGGGCAATATCGAGGAGGATGACTCTACTGATCTTCTGCACTCAAATGGAACACAAGGGCTGCATTCCTCTCAACAAATGGAAGTTCAGTTAGAACCTCTGAACAGATAGATGTGTATGTTCTTTTTCTTGCTTGATACAATATGTTCTTCATTTACAGAACAATTCAACTTACTGTAATGTAATGGCAATATCTCCTCTTCTTTCTCATTTTCACTTCATTCTTGATTTTAGAGGCCCAAAAAATGACCTTCATTGTGGCATGTAATGAACTTTTGATGCACACTCCTTTATTAATCTCTCTAAAATTGAAGATGGGTATGGCCAATGAATTGATTCTGTTTTATTTTT